TCATGCCTTCAAAACCAGTCCCACCTGGGTGACTCTTACACTACTAGGTTCACTTGCCTGCATAAGTTACAACTTTGGCCATCTCTGTAGCAGCTTCTCTGTGCTACAGAATCTTAATTCAAAATAACAAATGACCCTAATAGAACCTTTATACTACACAAGCCAGGCCTCCTTCATCCGCATTGCCTCCAACAGTCTTATCTTCCAGGCTTCCACAGAATAGCTCACTGAGCTCACAACACTCAATGGCTCTTCTACCCAGAGTTCCAAAGTCCTTCCACAGTCCTCCTAAAAACAACATAGTCAGGTATGTCACATCAGTACCCCACCCCTGGTACCAATTTCTATCTTCGCTAGGGTTACTATTGCTATGATAAAACACCATGATCAAAAACAAGTTGGGGAGAAAAAGTTTATTTGACTTACGGTTACACATCACTGCTCATCACTGAAGGAAGTCAGTATAGGAACTCAAACAGGGCAGGAACCTGGAGGCAAGAGCTGGTGCAGAGGTGCTGCTTACTGGCTTGTTCCCCCATGGGTTGCTTAATTTGCTTTCATATAGAACACAGGACCACCATCCCAGGAATGGCACCACCCACAGTGGGCTGGGCCACATCAATTTCAAAGAAAGTGGCCTACAGACTTGCCTATAGCCTGATCTGATGGAGGCATCTCAGGCCCCTCCTCTAACCTGTGGCCAGTTGACATAAAACCAAGCAACACAGGACCCAACAGGTAAGAGCACTTATTGTTCTTGCAGAAAACCGAGTCCCAGCACCCAGGTGTCTCACCTCAGCAATGAGGAGATGAATAAAACACTCTCTACACACATTCTGCATCCATTAAAAGAATGATTTCCTCCACCCCAAAGGAAAGGTAGAGAGTAGAAGGAGAATATCAGTCAGGGAGGTCAGAGACCCATGTACCTTCTTGTCACAACATGAGCCACTGCCTTCAGTGATCAATGACAGAATGTGCCTGGTGTAGCCAAACCATAACTCATCTTTGGGATAGGACATACTCACACCCTAAAGACCCTAGTTCATTCCTGGCTAGAAACAGAGAGATATTTCTTCATCTAAAACCTGTGATACTGGAGAAGGCAACCTGGTTCCTGGGTCACAGTTGCCCTTATGACATCATGAGCATCACCCCCATCAGCTACCCTGAGCCTGCTGGAGTCGGATGAGTAGCAACCGAAGGGGGATGATCACCTGAGTCCCTTCTCTCTGCCATGGGCGCTCAATGTTGTGTAAGACTGTCAGATTCACTGACCTAGGGTTGGGGGATACTACTTGGCAGAAAGAACTCATGGGCTCCTCAAGGGGCCCCTGGGAAAGACTGGGGAGCTGGGCTGCAGGGATTTTGCATGGGTGCTGGCTTTTATGTATGCCTCCCCGTTTTGATTGCAGAAGTCTGAATCTGAAATCAGTCAATTTGAGGAAGAGAGGAAACCTAAGGTGAGTGTGACCCAGGACCATAAATGAACCAGAACCCCCAAAACCCTGACCTCAGTATTTGTAGAAAGGAGGCACCATCTTCATTCCCATCCAGTCAGCTCAGGTTTTCTCTCTCTTGTCCCTTAAATCCCCTCTATTTTGCACACGGAGCAGTGGGAAGTGAGAAGGTAGATGGGTTGCTGTGGGCCCGCGTGATTGAGAGAGGTGGAAACGCGGTGAGAGAAGAACCTGGGAACTGTGCTATCTAGTGGGATTATGTACTGGTTCAGAACTGAGATTCAGGCTCTAATCCTATGGCTCTTCTTTAGGAAGACCTCATAAGGTCTTCAGGGTCAGACAGTCTTTCCCCTGGGTCCCCTGTGAACACCACAGCATAAACATACCTCACTTTATAAAGGAGGCCACTGTGGCTCAGAAGATGAGCCATGGCTGTAGATATGGCCACAGCCATGGACAAGACAGAGGTGGAGACAAAAACTCTATCCACCTCTCCTGTATCCCCATCCACTGAGCATCCTGTCCTTTGCTTGGTTAGCGCCAACGTCCAAAACAACGCCAAGGAAAAAGGACCCAAGCAGCCAGTAAGATTCAGGCCTTGTGGCGCGGATTCCTGGTGAGGCAAACTCTGCTGACTGCTGCCCTCAATGCCTGGGTGATTCAGTGCTGGTGGAGGAACATCCTGCACAGGCAGCTTCTTAAACGGCGGCTGGTGCTGCTGAGGATATACGTCATTGAGGAAGAGGCGGCAGTCAGGCTCCAGGCCTGGGTTCGCATGTGGCAGTGCCGTCGTTATTTCAGTCAAATGTGCAACGCGCTCTGTGTGGTCCAGTCCCTCGAGAGCCACATTACCTTCCGGAACGATGACATCTTTCAGGTTCAATATGAAGTTGTTTCCAAGCAGCCTGAGTTCCACATTGAAATCCTATCCCTCTAAAGGCCTGCAGCACAAAGAATTGGCTCCAGTGCCTCAATAAATACCTAACCTGGTTTGGTGAGTCTCAGTGATTGTCGTGCCATAGGGCACCCCCACCCCAAGGATTCAGACTACATCTCTTCCTCTCCTTAAGAGAAGACCTTCCCCATCCCCACAGAGCCTGGTACCTCCAAACCAAGAAATGAGGCTCAAGATGTCTGTATCCACGCAGAGCCAGGCATCCCACTACACAACCCTGGGACCATCCCTGTCTTTTGAAGTTGGAATAAAGGGACTAAGCTTCACGTTCCTAACGCAACATATGAGAAATGCGGTTTCTCTGCCTACTGCTGAGAACTTGGCATAGTCATTATAACCACCCCCTCATAGCACAGAAATAATACATTTACCACTCCAGCTCCAATTTTTTGTTGTTTTCTTGCCTCCTCTCTTCTAGGAGAAAGGTCAGAATATTTGGGCCTGTAAAGCAAGGTTGTTGCAATAGACTAAACATTAAGCCCAACATATTATCTGGCCCTTGCTAACTGTTACACACTAGGCAAGTATCTTCTAAAATCTAATTAGAACTCCTGAGAGACAGACATAACAATTGCACTCTCGGCCACACCATTCATGCTCTTGCCCCTCAGTATCCTCGACAGCTTTGGCCCCGTGATCTTCTCTCTCCATCTTTGAACGAGCCTCGCTCTATCCTGCTTCATCCCTACACCAGATGAGCAAAAAGGAAAGTCCTGTTAGCTAGGAGGAAAGCATTTGTCAGTTCCTCGAAAAGCTAAACAGAAACCACATGTGATAGTGCAATGCCAGTGTTTGCAAGGCTGAGTCAGGGAGTCCAAACGGGACTACATGGAGAAGCTTTATCAAAAAGTGGGGAGGGTAGGCTGGTGACATGGCTTAGTAGATAAAGGCACTTGCCTCCAAGCCTGAAGACCTGAGCTCAATTCCCAGAATCCACATGTCGGAAGAAGAGAACTGACTCCCATAGGTTGCCCTCTGAGAGGCAGACTGGAGGAAAAGGTAGAGGAAGGAATACAGGAGGGATAACTAATGGAAGCCTACTACTGAAGAAGCGTCCTGAAATCTATACATACACATATACATATACACACACATATACATACATATACATATATAAAGAGTTTAAATAGAATTACCCCATTCCAGGGCAAAAATGCCCCACCAAGACACAACAGGATAAAAAAAAGCCCAATGCTAGCAATGGGTCACATCTTTTGAAGTTGTTGGCAATGAGTCACACGGGCCCCCAGATATCTCAGGATCTCACCAACGCTCTTGGTTACCTCCAGAACTGCCGGTAAGACGGGAGGAAAGCTACCACACACTTGAGTCATAGAAGAAGGAACTATCAGGTTGCTACTCACAAGCAAGCATCCCCCACACCGTCCAGCTTTCACGGAGCTGGAAGATGCTGCGCACACACCAGAGGACAGAAGGAACCACCATTCTCACCTAGTCTCTGACCCTGTGAGCTACAACAATGACTGGTCCTTCCAGAGATGCCCGTCATGAGTGGGCAGCCACTTCCGTACTGAATTTAAGGCCCACTTCACAAGTTGAATCACATACCTGGCATTATTACTGGGGCCCTGAACCTAGGGCTAGACAATTCATAGTCCCTGTAGGCAAACCTACCCCTATGACTCTGGTCAATAGACACAGTTTTAAACTGACCCCACATGGCTTGTGGTTATATCCCTAGACTAGTGTATCTATCAGTCCTCATCGGAAAAGCCTCTTTTGGCAGTAGATACCAATTAACACGGAGTTCTAAAACTGGGCAAGGCACAGAGAACACCTGAAGAAGGCTCCGCCCTGTTTATAACTTCTATTGCATAGCCCCTCCTCCCAAGGCTCGGGGATTACTGTTCAAGGAGGACAAAAGGATTACAAGACTCGGAGGTGATGCCTGACTACCCGGAAATAGTGCTTCTGGACATAGCAAGGCACTTCACACATGAATTCAGAGCAGCTGAGACAGTGTGTACAAAACCTGCGTAAGCCCCCGTCGGACAAAATTCCAGCATGCAAAGAAGCTGTGGGCATGAAGTTCCACCCGTGGCTAAAGAGAGCTCATCAGCAATTGTTAGTGCCTGGGAGGGCGAGCTTGTGTTTAAGGTGTGGCCTGGTGAGCTGACTATGCTCCAGCGAAGGCCACACACACAGCAGCACAGATTGTACTGGATGGGGGGGCGGGGAGGACATAGTTGAGTCAGTTGAAAGTGAGGGTGGATTTAGGAGGAGGGAGGAGGTGAATATGATCAAAATATGTGGTCCACAATTCTTAGAAAAACATGTAAGAATGAGGGGGAAAGGTTGCTGTCTGACCTCCACATACACACTGTGGCACGTGTGCACACATTCACACAGAAAGAGAAGAGGGGGAGGGGGAAGGACAAATGTGGAAAACAGAAGTTCTGCGACATAAGCCGACTTGGAAAACATTATGTGAAGTGAAAGACAGACATATTGCAGAGTTATATAAAATTTATATAAAATGCCCAAGAGAGGTAATAAATAAACTAGTAGCTGCTAGCATCAGCAGGAGAGAAGCGGCTGCTACAGGCTTGCTGCTGGCGGCGACTCCTGCTTTCCTGTTGACTGATGAAAATATCGCAGAAGGAGAGCACAGCCATGGTCACTGTGTTCGTTACTTTTCTGTTGGAATAAAACACAATGATCCAAAGCCACTTACGGAAAAAAGAGTGTGTTTGGGTTTACAGTTCCAGAGGGATTAAGGTCCAGAGTGTCACGGAGGAAGCATGGCATCAAGTGGCAAGCACCGTGGCGGGAGCAGGAAGCTGAAAATCTCATCTTTCACCGCCAAGAGGAAGCGGAGGGAGCAAGCTGAAAGTGAGGTGAGGCTGTAGACTCTCAACCCAATGTGTGGTCTGAATGAGAATGGCCCCATAGGCTCATGTGTTTGAATGCTTGGTCCCCAGCCAATAGAACTGTCTGAGAAGGATAAGGAGGAGGGACTTAGTTGGAGGAGGTGCGTTTCCCAGTTAGCTCTCTTTCTCTGCATCGTGCTAGCGGACCGGATGTGAGCTCTCAGTGGCTGATACCAATGCCAAGCCTGCCTGCCTGCTGCTGTGCTCCCCATTATGATGAACACGGACTGTAGCCCTCTGGAACTGTGATTCCCAGTTAAATACTTTGCTTTATAAGTTGTCTTGGTCATGGTGTTTTGTCATGGCAATAGAAAAGTAACCAAGATACTCACTCTCCGGTAAAGCAAAGATAAAAACTCTCCCTAACATAAAGAAAGTGGAGGAAAGAGGAAGAGAACTCAGTGCAAGCCTTGGAAGGCAGAAGGTCCCAAGGGTACTGAGAAAAGATAAAACTGCACACAGAGATGCTGCATGTTGTATTTAACCTATTTCAGATCACTGAAGGTCCAAACGTTACCTCTCTTGCCAACCATACTAAGTCTTGCCAAATTTACACACCTTGCCCATATGAAGATTTGGGGGAAATGATTAATCGTTCTTCATATTCTCATGGGCTTTGATGATAAGAACCTTTACTGAATCCAGGTTGTACCATTTTTCATATTCTTTCTGAGCAAGATGATATTCTAATGATTGATCCAATAAACTTCTTCATCCCTCAGTATGGGACCAGAGAGATGGTTCATTGGGTAAAATCATTTGCTGCCAAGCCTGTCAACCCAAGTTCAATCCCAAGACTCACGTGGTGGAAGGGAAGAACTGATTCCTGCAAACTGTCCTCTAATCTACACACATAAACACAGACACACACACAAACTTTGGAAGATAAAGACAATACAATAATACACGGTAGTAGAAAAAAATACACAGTAGTAGAATCCATTACTTTGTATACTAACTTTAAAAGTCAATTTTTTAAGCAAGAAAATTTATTTTTTTTCTTTTGGAAGTTGTTTTCTTAATGACATAGCCTCTAAAACTCTTAGTGTACACACTAAGTTGCAGTTAAAAACACCATCAGGGGCTGGGAAATGCAGCTCAGTGAGGAAATGCATTCCCAGCACAAGAGCTCTGTCCTCAGCAACACATGAAAAACAACCCTCAGGGCAGACCTCATTGATAGATACTAGTTTAGTTAAATTAGAACAGGGGGCACTGGAGGGATGGCTCAGTGCTTAAGAGCGTATACTACTCTTGCAGAAGACTGGAGTTAGGTGCCTGGTGCCCGTGTCCGGAGGCTTAGAGCCCTCTGTTACCCCAGTTCTGAGAGATCTGACACTCTTCTGGCCTCTGTTGGAACAGCACGCACATAAACACATGATTAAAAATAAAATAAACCTTTAAAACTTTTTTAAAAATTGGAAGCCAGGTTGGGGGGGAGGGGCACATCTTTAATCCCATCACTTAGGAGGCAGAAGCAAGCCGAGATCTCTGAGTTTGAAGCCAGCCTGGTCTACATAGTGAGTTCCAGGACAGCCAGGGCTACACAGAGAAACTCTGTCTCAAAAAAACTAAATAAATAAATAAAGTAAAAAGTTAGAGCATAAATAACAGAGAAAACTCAGGGCTAAGAATGATTTTTACTAGTCAGTTACTCTATAATACTCTCTAAAGCTGTATAAATGCTACTTCTATTGTAACGCAGAGAGGAATGAACTCTCATCTTCAGCGGTAGCCATACCATGAGGCTTTTTAGAAAAGTGAAGGTATTCAAACCAGGCTCATGCTCTTTGGTTCTTGCAGGATGGTATGCCTCAAGAAGTAACCTCGTTAATCCTTCCTCTAAAGGAAGGAATTGGTGTTTTCACTTAGGTACCTTTTTGTTTGTGTGTATGCAGACATTGCACACACGTGTGGATGGGAACCAGAAGCCAACAGTAGGGAGCCTCATCACTCTCCACCTTTTATTTTTGAGATGGGTCTCTCGATGAACATGAGGCTCATACATTGACTAAACAGACTGGCCGATGAGCTCCAGGGACCCACCTACCTCTGCTGTCCCAGCACTAGGGTTACAGACACGCCCACCAGCCCCACATGTGTGATCTCTGCCTCCTATCTCATTATCCCTGGAACTGCAGGCACACACCACCACAGCTGGCTTTCATTTATGGGAGTTGGGGTTCTCATACTTGTGACACCAATGCTTACTGACTGAGTTGTCTCCAAAGCCCCAAGCATGAGTTGTCTATATCATGGCTTCTTCTTGTGATGCTAGTATCTTTGGCATTCTGTGCATTTTATGGCATAGCCTGGACACTGATAGAGAAAAACTTTCTGTTCCATGCACTAAGGGTACCCAGAAAGGGGCCCTTTTTTTGTATAGGTAAAATGCATATTGTTATATAGTTATAAAGCTGCATTATAGTATTCTAGAAATGGTCTATTGCATGTATTTTTATCTATATTATAAATATTTTATACCGCTGTTTGTTAAAATATTTTTTCTCCCTAAAAAATATTCAAAAATAAATATAGAACTGGGCATAGTGGTGCACACCTTTAATCCCAGCACTTGGGAGGCAGAGGCAGGTGGATGTCTGTTTGAGGCCAGCCTGGTCTACATAATGAGTTCCAGGACATACAGAGCTATATAGTGAGATTCTGTCTCAAAAAAAAAAAAATAAATGTATGTTGAGTCAGATATGGTGACACATGCCTGGAATCTTAGCATGTGGAAGGTGGGAGCAAGAGGATCAAGAGTTCAAGGTCAGCCCCAGCTACATGACCTTCTGCCTCAAAATATAAAATAAAATTAAAATTTTGACAGTCTATAAGTTAAATGATTATAGCTTATTTGTTCAGCAGAGGTATCACTCTTTGAGTTTTAGTCCAAGTTCAAGACAAGAGTGTTGACCTAGTATAGCTATAGAACTTTACTTGCCACTCTTGGACACTTTGGTAGTGTCCATCAAATAGACAAATTCAAATGCTGGGCTACCCTAGCCATGTCCCAAACTGAATAGTTGCTTCCCAGTACACATATTGAAAGCTAAACAAAGAAAAAAAGAAAAAAAAAAGCATCGGGCATGGTATTGCATATCTATAATCCTAGAACTATGGGGGTGGGAGCAGGAGAGTTACAAGTTCAAGACCAGTCTGGGCTACGTAGAGAGACCCTATTTCAGGGTTTATTTTTAGGTCTCACCATTTTAGGGTTTTAGTACATCATGGCAGGGAAGGCATGGCAGGGCTTCTCAGCTCCTGACAGGGGACTGTGTGGTAGAGGCTGCTACTATCATGCAGATCAGGAGGCGAACCACAAGGGGAATCAGGAGCCAGGCTACTTTCAAAGCTTCACTCACCCCACCAAGCTGCTTCCTCCAGCTAAGACCCAGCCCCTAACAAAGTCGCAGCCTTTCAAAAGAGCTCTGCCAGCTGGGGACCGAGCATTCAAAATATGATCCTGTGGGAGACATTTCAAACGGAGCCATGGTATTCCCCTTTCATATTTCCATCCGGCTGCAGACTACACACAAGAGGACATCAGCCCAGTTATGATCCCAGCAAAACCTCCATAGATGTTTTAAAAACTTTCATCTGGAATGGTACCAAGAAGCTCAATCACTCCTTATTAAATAATTAAATAGCAGCATCAACTTTTTTTTGCAGTGAGGAGATAATTTTAACTGCTTTGTGTGCTTTTTTCCATCTCTTTCTATTTTTTGGAGCTTTATCTGATATTAGAATTCTTTCTCAAGTTCCTGAAATGACATTTCACCCTTAATACAATATTTCTAAAACTGAGAGCTTTTTTTAATTCAGCATTTCAAAACATAATGGAAATGTTCTCGGCATTTAAAAAAAGATCTCAACTAAAATGCATACACAAAAGACCCCGAACAGACAAAACATGCTGTGAAAGAAGATGCTGTAGGCACACACACTCAGAGTTTAAAAATTGGGGTCGGGAGGGGAGAAAATTAAAAGTAAGAAAAACCTAAAAAGACATTTTCTTCCAAAGAAAACACAGCTGGCCAGCAGGTCCATGAAAAGGTAGCTAACATCACTGGCCATCTGGGAAACCGAGATCAAAATCGCAGTGAGCCATCACCTGACATCTGTTAGGATGGTTATCATCCAAAGACAAGGGGGGGGGAAGTGTGGGCAAGGGTGTAGAGAAAAATTGGGACAGCCATATGGGAAACAATATGGAAGATCCTTTATAAAAATCAAAATAGAACTACCATATGACCCAAAACCAGGCTTCAGGGGACATATCCAGAGGAAGGGAGTGTCCTGAAGAGAGGACTTCACTGCCATGTACCTGATGGGATCCTCCTGGCTGTATCGCCCAAGCAGTGAGATTACAGGTGTATCATCATCCTGGCTTGGCTATGTCTGTGACAGGGCTCCAAACGCAGTTCGTTCCTGCTTGTGCATGTATTAGTCTACCCACAGAATGACAGAAAATGTTCCACAAATCTTAGATCTGACCATGAACTTGTGTCTAGTCTATAACAACTCATAATTACCAAAGTTCAGCCCTGCACAACAGCTATGGACTGCCGGGAGGACCTGGGCCAGGGCTGCCAGAGAGCAGCATGCTCGTTCAGTCCCTGCATCTCTCTGCAGAAGCTGCTGGGTAAGGTGGCTTTAAGCACAGTGATGCTCAAATGCTTGAGAGAACCAAATTATGAAAGATGACTGTGGTGGCTTGAATAGGGACGTCCCCTGTAGGCTCCTGTATTTCAATGCTTAGGGAGTGGCACTGTTTGAAAGGAGTTGTGGGCGTGGCCTTGTTGGGGTAGGTGTGGCCTTGATGGAGGAAGAATGTCACTGGGGTGGTCTTTGAGGTTTCAGAAGCTCAAGCCAGGCCCAGTGGTTCCCTCCCTCCCTCTTCCTGCTGCCTGCGGATCCAGATGTGGACTGCCCTTTTCTTCAGCACCATGTCTGCCTTTGTGCCT